TATCCCTTTTTCTTTTTCTAGTATTAATAAGTGTGAAAAAAAGAAATTTGAGAAAATCCTTTTATTTTTATGTTTTTCAATCTCTTAAAGTGAAAAAAAGAAGAATAATCATTCCAACTTTTTTATTTTTAATTATATATAAAAAGGGTAAATATATTAAAATTTTTTTGACCATACTAGTTAGATTAATGATGAGGTAAAATGTCTAGAAAATAGTATTAGGAACTAAAATGATTGTATTACTATAATCTAAACGAATAAATTGATAATAACAATGTAATAATGTTATAAAATAAAAGTGTATTTTTGTCCACAATTCTTAACATGTTGAGTTGAATTACTTATGGAAGTAAAGTGATTAAAAAATAACGTTAGAGGGTAAACTGATAGTAGTGATATAGTTTAAGGGGGTAAAGTGATAATACATGAGTGGTTATACATAAAGGGGTAAACTGATAGTAGTGATATAGTTTAAGCGAGTAAAGTGATATTTTTATTTCTCTAAGTGGTTATACATAAGTGCACACCCTTTCCTGGTTTGGTGTGTAGGAATGATCTAGAATGAAAAGGTCTTTTTACCCAAAATTTTTCTGCCAAAATGGGTAGAAAACTATTTATCATTTTAGTGTTACGTAAACGAAGTCAAAATGGAATATGTATTTCTTTTCCAACGTTTGATATAGTCATATTGAGAAAGCAAAATGGGATGAAAAAAATTATTGTGTTAACTTAATTATCCTAAATATAACATAAAACATTTCTTTTTTTATTTTATTTGATATGAGCATCCTAAGGTAAATGGTCAGTTTTTTTGAATTTGACTTTTAACTACACTACTAAGTAAGAACACATTCCATAGATATTTGATTTAGAGATATATAACTTATTAATAATAATAATAATAACAACAACAACTTTTTACTAACAAAAAACTGTAATAGTTGAATACTAATTTAGCCAAACCGAATATTCAAATTGCATACATGTCAATTCCTATGTCCCTTTGATTTGCTTCTATCTATTCCTTAGAACTATTTACAAACAAAAACAATATATATATATATATATATATTTGTGACTTAGCAAATGGTCTAGTGACATTTTTTCTCTTTTTCTAGAGTGCACATGAATGTATTTTGACATATTATTACTTCTTTTGAATGGACAAATGTCATCGCATAATCCAGTTTTGTAAATAAAAGATGTTAAAAATTTTAATTAAATGTCTCTTTTTAGATAGTAAAAAGAGAAAAAAATCTTATTAATTAATAAAACTAGAATTATTTATGACTAAAATGTAAGAGACATTATTAAACTCACAAATAACTTAACATTTGACATGCATATAGAAGATAGAGATATATAAAAAGGTAAACTTGACCCCTGCAATTTAGGTGTTTCTTCGTAGAATTTATATGTTTCGTGAACAGAATGAGAATGAGTTTTCCCTAGATTTTGTGTGGAATGAGATTTCGAGAAAATGTTTGAATAGGCATTTTAGAAGAAAAAGCCTTTCCAAAAAAAAAGTTGTATATCAAACATTAGAATGAAATGAATAAGTTAGAAAAACCTTTCCATTTCAGACCTTTCTAGTGTACCAAACGAGGAATGTAAATTTAAGTGCTTATCTAGTTCTTGTTTTTCTTTTTCAAAGTAAAAAAATCAAAGGAGCCCCTAAATTATCATTGTTGTCCCTTTTTTGCCATTAATCTATTTTTTTGTCTCCAATTGGTTCTTGAACAATAAAAAGTGAATAGTTTAAGGACTTATAGCCATTTTAAACATAAATTTTGTCATAATTCAAGGGCATTTTTGTCCAACCATAATCAAAAGTATTGAGAACTTAATAAAAAGCATTGAGAGTAGGAGTAGAAGCCCTGAAAAGAGAAAACCCTTCATTTTCCTTGAACTCTTCATCATATTTCTCTACTTGAGTAATCTGATGAAACTTTTGACTACTCAAGTATGAAATCAATTAATTTGGAAATTTTATGGAGAAATTTGATCCAAAGTTTAAGGAAAATGAAGGATTTTCTTTTTTTCATAACTTCTACTCCTGCCCTCAATACTTTTGATTAGGTTCTCGATACTTTTGATTATTGTTGGATAAAAATACCCGTCGATTTCATCTGGATTTATGCCTAAAATGGGCAGAAGTCCTTAAACTATGCACTTTTAATTGTTCAAAGGCCAGTTGAAGATAAAAAATAGATCAGGGGCCAAAAGTGAATAACAATGATAGTTTAGAGGCTCCCTAGGTTTTCTACTTTTCTTTTTCATGTCATCTTTTGCAAATGTCAAGTCTGTAAGGACTGTATGGTCATAGAAACCAAAACCAAAAAAGAAGAAAGAGGAAAAAAAAAAAGAATATGGCTGTAGTTCACGGTCCTATTCTTACTTCTCATTTGGTATGTAGGAATGGTTAGGAAAGAAAAGATCTTTCCAACTTGTGCATTTCCTTTGGTATGGTTCATTTAAATGAGAAAAGTCCTTTCTTTTTTGAATACTCATTCCGACTTTTTCTTATAACCTAATTCCTTAAAAATATTGAAGAGAAGCTTTTTTTACCTTTATCCTAGAATGTCTAAATAAAAGGACGTCAAATTTATCCTTGTAATTTTTATATTGCTTCAACATATTTTAGCCTATTTGTAAGCTAAATTAATATTTAAATGTAATTCTTCATTAGAATTAAAATTTTTATATATAAAATATTTTTTATTACTAAAAAATAACTACTTTAAGATACTTTATTCTTTGACTTTTGAACAATTATGCAAGATTTTTTTATGAATCTCATATCAAAATTGAAAATGGAATTAAAATAAGTATAATTATTCAATTTCATGTAATTTATATTTTACATTGCTAATTATATTGCTAGTGAATGCAAAAATTTAGCTTAAAAATATATATATTAGAATGAATCAAATATTAAAATTAAAGAATTTTGATATCAGTCCTTATTCATTTTTAAAATAAAAATATCAAAATTTCACGTAAATAGTCAAATGCTATTGTAGAATAAATAAATAAAAAAATAAGAGATATTATGTCTTATAAACTAATCTAGGGCAATTAAGTCAAATTCATATTTTGTATATTCTACTCTAAGATTTAAATATTGATTATATAAAATATTGGTGATTGATTGAACATTACATTTTAACTTGTCAATCAAACTCCAGAACAATAAAATTTTTTTCCTACCATTCTAGGTTGGAATGTGTTCTGGGTGGGAAGATCTTTTCATTTTGGGTATTCCTATGTTCTGGGATGGGGGAGGAAGCGGCTACATTTCAGTTTTCTAACTTTCCTGTTTTAATTTTAGCTGTTGATTTTTCAACTACATACAATTACATATACTCAATAAAAAGGTTGCATAATGTGTGCTCACTTTTTCGGTTTCTTTAATTTGCTTCCCTCCCTTTTGGCGCATGAAACATCCTTATTGAGATGTTAGGAGACCTTCCCTTAACCTTTCCTGAAACTGAAACAATATGCAACACGAGATTTCTTGGGTGAGAATAATAGTGTGCAAATGCGTGAGAATTATGGCACAAGCCCTTCAGCAAAGTTGCCAAACCATTTTTGTTTCCAATATTTGAGTCGATTTGCATTTTTAAATAAATATGGTTATGTAGAAACCCTCATATTGTCAGGCGGTCTGTCTATTATGTCTGTTCACTTTTTATGTCCAATGCAAAATTACATAGTTCCACCTACTAATACTGTTAATATGGCACAAGAATCATGCAATATCGCAGATGGGATCCTCTATCCATTTTGTTTGTTCAATTTTCTGTCTGAAGCAAAACTATGTAGTTCCACTTACTAATATTGATTATATTGTTGATGTGGCATATAACAAAACTTTAGATGTTTAGTTGCGTTATGTTTCTTCTTCATTTTTTTTTGTTTCCTTTGTTTACACAACTTAGTTACAATTTCCAAAACTCTATTGCTACCGTTACAATTCCCAAAACCTGTTGCTACTGTCTTCACGGAAAATGAATAAAGCAAATTATGAGAGTTTCTTAGAGAAATAATATCAAATAGATGGTAAGACAACTTTTACAAGGGTTGGGATAAGGCTTAAAAAAATAATTACCACATACCTGTTTTGCATTGGAGTCCACCAATACTTAAAATTCTTTTGCATGAACATTGAATTCTTTTCCATAAAATATTGAAATTGACCCATAGTATGAATCCAATCACACAACCATATAATTGCAAATGAATTGGATATATCCTATAGAAAAAAATATATAGACCAAAGCATGATTTTCCATGGAGACATGCTAGTCTCTCCTTCAATTGATGCAATTGATAACGGATTGTCAGAGATGAAAGTAGAAAACTGTCATTGTAGTAATCTAAATTAAATGGTGTTTCAAAAAAAAAAAAACAAAGAAGAAAAAGAAGAAGAAGCATGTGGCAGCCAAACGGCTGAAGTTTTGTTATGTGCCATATTAGTAATATTATTAGGTGGAACTCTGTAATTTTGTATTGGACAGAAAAGTGAACAGACATAATGGACAGAGTATCCCGTCTGACTTCTAAACTAGTAAAGATTTAACTGGATTACTACAGCTTTCCTGACCCCAAAATAGAAACGTGAGAGAAAACTTGGGCCAGGCCTTTCATTTTAGTGTAGTACTGAGAACAGCCCAACTAACCTAGAACACTTTGTCGTTAGGCCTGATTCTTTTGGACAGATCTCGGAATTTATGAACACCTATATGCGAAAACAACACTCAGTGTAACCGAAAAAAGGAAAAAACCGTTTACAAGCAATGATTAACTGAAAAGAATAAACAAAGCATTTAGAACAAGAAAATCTAGGGCAGAATGACAGGCAAAATTGTTCCATGGCGATATGGTCTCGGCCTATCGTCCCCAACTCTAGATCAACTCTATTGGGCCTAATGAACTTACCAAAGGGAAAGCCCAAGAATCTCCAAGAAAAATTACACGTGGTGCCAGGCAACCAGGCGTGCACAACACGCAGCAGGCGCATCTTAGCCTTTTTCTTTCCCTTCCCTTCCCTTCCCTTCTTCTTCAGGAGAGTTTTGCTTGTTCCCCGATTAAACTTCCGACAATCGTCACTGCAAGTCACCCTAATTCTCTCTCTCAGGTTCACTTTTTCTGTCACAATTTTTGATCATTCAAAAGTTCTGCCCTATCTTTTGTCATCGAAGTTCGTACCGTCAAATTTTGGAATTTTTTAAAATATCTTTTTAGATCTTAAATACCCGTGAATTTTGTATTTTGAATTTTGTCTGTATCTTTTCTTTTGGCTTCGTAAATTAATTGATATTGTATTTTTGCCCCTTAATTAGGTTTGCCTAAGACAGTGAGCAGTTGCTGAGTTAGCTCAAAGATTTGTAACTATGGTAATATGATTGTTTGGCTACTTATAGGCTTTCATGATATGTTTTATGATTGATCGTATCATTTGTGATTTCTTGAGCTGCTTCTATTGTGAAGTGATGCTACTTCACTATTTACTTTTGACCCTAATTATGGTTTCTTTTAGTTTTTCAATTTGAAGTTGTGGTTGAGTTTCGTGATTCTTCAATTAGAATGTGCTTGCGGAACTGAAAAAAGAAGAGACTTTCTTGGAATTGTCTGACTAAAATTGTGAGGATTGATTGCGCTGACTGCATACAGTAAATGAAATTACCAATCATAGTGAAAGTGTTTTTGAAGTAGCTTACTTTTTTTTTTGGGTTTTTTTTTTTTTTGTTTGGGAGGGGGGGGGGCGGAGGGGAGTTGATGCATAACTAATAGCACGAGTGGTTTGGATAAGCCAGTAGCTGGAGTAAAGTTGAAAAATAACAAGCCTTGAATTGCCTTTGACTATAACCAATCCTTTCATCAGGGAAACATACCTCACCTAGGTCGTCCTTGCTCCTGCCAATGTGGGGCTGTTGTAGCACCTGTTTTCTAGACCTGCTTTCTCAATTGTGCTTGTTGGAACACTTTTGTGACAGTAAGCTAGAGTTGTTTAGTCTTGGACGCCAATTTTCATTTCCAAATAGGATCATAGTTGGATTGCTTTGTATTCTTAAAACACCATTTAATAATGCAAGGAAACAGAAGAGATTTCCTTTGAAAAATAATTATAGCTCTTTCTCATTTTTACATGCATCATGTTGAAAATTGTGTCATTCTTTGGTAGTATCTTGTCATAGACTTTTCTTCTTTTTTGCCCTTTCAATATAGCTGTAATTTTATGAAGTCTAACCTGAATGGAGTTGTTCCAGTCTAAGATAATATGACCTTTGTCGACCACGTGGTTGGTAGTGAACTTCTTGTTTCCTATCATGCTTAGCTGTTGTAAGTAGTGGGGAATTTCAGATTGCATATGGGAACTGGCCAATGGTACATAATTAAGAATGTAACTCCATTCCTATTGACCTGGACTTGATTGCCTTTTGTTTTAGTCGAAAAAGAGGTAGAAAAAGAAAATTGTAATCTAACATCACTTGCCTAACATGTCATCCATGCCATTTGCTTTTTCAAACAGGACTTGGTTTTTTCAAAGCCATCAAGAGTTATATTGTCATTATTGTTGTTATTTCTTTTAGTTATTTTACTGTTGTTACTGTTCTCATTGCATTGGTTTGGATTGTGCAGTTCTTTGACGGGTATGGGTATCATGGAACATCATTCGAGCAAACGTATCGATGCTACCCTGCATCTTTTATCGATAAGGTTGGAGGCATTTGTTAGCAAATAGATTTGTTTGTGTCATCTAGTATAATATTATTGGAATCTGAGCTTGGGTCAACACAATTTCTTCAGTCATTTTGAAATCGACAAAAGCTATGTTGAATCCTACTGTTATTGTTTTCTTTGTCTTTAGAAATGGATACTTTTTGTTTGAACCTTTGAAATCAGACACTTTTAACTTTCTGAATTTTGCCTTTTTTTTTTGTTTAGAAGATTTTTGAATTTCTTTATTGTATTTCTGGGTTATGCGCTCTTCATGGTAGCACGTCAACTTGTACACCAACACCATTCTTTTAAAGTATCTTCCTTCTGTTAGTTTGCCCTTGACTTATTATCTCTGATGCTATTATTCCCCTCTTAATCATGCAGCCACAGATAGAAAATGGTGATAAAAGTAAGTTATATTTTCTCTTTGAGCTTTGATGGTGTTCATTGTTATGGTTGCTGCGTGATCTTATTCGCCCTTGTTTGTAATGCTTTGACAGTTATAATGCCTCCTTCAGCTCTTGACCGTCTCGGTTAGTAGCTTTAAATTTTTTCCAGTCATCTTGTGCCAATATTTCACGTCTTTCCTAGCGATTGGCATTGAAAATATATGGCTTTGCCTATGCAGCATCTCTTCATATTGATTATCCAATGTTGTTTGAGCTTCGAAATGCTGCAACAGAGCGGGTATCTCATTGTGGGGTTCTAGAGTTCATTGCAGAAGAGGGCATGATATATATGCCATATTGGGTATGCATCATGAAGTCTTCTACCATATATGTCATTTGAATTGGTACAGCCATCATTTAATGCAAATTATTCATGTAGATGATGGAGAATTTGTTGTTACAAGAAGGAGATATTGTACGTGTGAAAAATGTGACTCTTCCTAAGGGTACATATGTTAAGTTGCAACCACACACTAAGGACTTCTTGGAAATTTCCAACCCCAAAGCCATGTAAGTTGGCTAAAGTATCTTTGTTGTTTCTTCTCTACTACGTAATTTTTCATTATGGTGTAGGTCAGATTATGATATTTTCTTTCATAGACTGATTCTAGTATGCTTGGTGATGTACAGTCATGCAGTTTCGGAATAAATTTTATGGTTCTTGCCTGTCTTCTCAACTCTTGCAAATGCTTTCTTTGATGCTTATCAGAGGAGGGGGGCCCGCCGGGGGGGGGGGCATTAATGGATGGTGTTTTGGCACTCAAGCATTCATGAATTCTGTTTAGGCGTATATATGAGTTAACCATTGGCAAACGCAAGGTCTTGCCCAGTTTTAGAAATTCCAACTTGTTTTGCTGTCTCCTGCATCATTTGTAAGCATTATTTTCATTTATTGGAAAAAGCTGCATGAAACATAATTCAGGACTTGGTGCTTTTGGTGTTTTTCCTGGATCATGTGGCCCTTAATATTGCAGACTGCCTCCAAATCAGTTTAGAAACCAAGGTGCTTCCCCTTAGAGAATTTATCAGTTTGTTATCTTAGAGGATTACATAATGCAATTTAATTTCTGCAGCACGGCTTCACATTGTCTTCACTGTTTAAATGGCTATAGCTGTTCTGAACTAGTCGCTGCCTTTTCCTCATTTTCATCTGGAAGTTTTTTCTAGAATTTAATAGAACATTCTGCATGATCACTACCTACTTTTGACCATTGATGTACTTTTCTTGGAGTTGGAGAAGTTGTCTTCAGGATGGCAGCTGGTTTGTCGAAATCTTGAGATTTTCCATTTTATTGATCGTCATTTGCAGAATATTTGATAAATAAGTAGTGGATTTGATATGGATTTAGGGTGGTAGAGGTCCATGTTTGACTTTTGTTTTTGCTGGTGCAGCTTGGAGACAACACTAAGAAACTTTTCCTGCTTAACAACGGGTGACAGTATTATGGTGGCCTACAACAACAAGAAGTACTACATTGATATTATAGAGACAAAACCCTCTAATGCCATAAGCATTATTGAAACGGACTGTGAAGTGGACTTTGCTCCTCCACTGGATTACAAGGAACCTGAAAAACCCACCCTTTCTCCTGCATCAAGCAACGCATTAGGAGGTGTAATTTTTTCCGTGCTTTTTTTTTTTTTTCTTTTACATTACCATTAAAGTTGGATATATATCATTTCTCTTATCAGAGGACGAGACTTAAGTGACCATCTGTGTTAACTTAGTATAAAGTGCTCTGTCTAATGAGCTCCTTCAGAACTTTCACTAGCTGATAACCAGTAGTAATGGTAAGGTCAATTGGTAAGGGGCCTTTAGGAAGACACAAATTTTACGCCTTTTAATTAGCATATCGTGTTCCTTGGAAAAAAAAAATTATTAGTGTTAGATTTTCTTCTGTTTGACACTGAGATCTTATGTTTCTATATTCTTAATGTGAATCTTTCATCTAGATCTGTATAAAATCTGCAGCATTTAATATGAAGACAGCTTGTTGAACAATATGGGGCAGTAGAGTAAAATAATAACTCAAGAAAAGCTTATAAGTGAGGCTATTCAAGAAAGAGTAAATCTTATATACACTGACAGTGTATACATTATCACCATTTGATTCATGATATGTGTGCAAAAGTTAAATTTCAAATTCAAATTTTATATAGTTGTCATTCATTCAACGCTGACAGTGTAGGAAAGATTAATCCACCTGTCTTTTCATATTACTGTGTTCATAATAAAATTTTTGTTGGACTTTTGATTAGTGTTCCTTGGCGCACCTTCCAAAACTAATTATCTTATGGACTGTTGCTGATTTTTCTTTGGGTATAAGAATCCTGAATTGGGATGAAACGCTGTTGATTAACTTTGTTGTCATTCATGAAGGTCCAGAGGCTCCAGAAAATGCACAACCAAAATTTAACGCATTTAGTGGTGTTGGAAGACGCTTAGATGGGAAACCCATGAAATACCAACCTTCACCAGTTTCTTCGTCACACACCTTCTCGCTCCAATTAATACTCCTCCAATTAATAATTCTATTCTAATTAAAACTCTTCCAACCCAATAATAAGAGATAACAACATAATTTCACTAAAAACTGCAATTTACCATCTCTTTCAACTTTCTTCACATGCTATTTTAATATAATTTTAATTCGAAAGCATACAACATGATTAAGAAACAGCAAAACTAATTAGAATTAGATTTTGATCCAAAAAAAAAATTAGGCCTATATGTCACTGGCACGTTGCCGTAATTTGTAATGCCAATTAGGACTATTTATCATTTTTTTTCAAGGAGTTATGACATTGTAAAGCTTATTTAAGCAAAATTTGACTCATCGGTGATTTTAGTATCAAGTTATTAAATATACTACAAATTCTATAATATCAGTCTGCTATAAAAAATAATATTTTACCAGCATGTGATATTTACGTACGAAATTTCAAAGGTAAATCAGATGCTTTTACTTATACTCTATATAATTTGAATAGTTTTTTAGCGAATATAACTATACTATGCAAACCCATCACTTTGTATAATTGAAACTAGCAAATTGTAAATCAATCACAATTTAAATTTTGCTCGATACCTACGCAATTGGTGAGTTCCATTAGTAATACTACATCAAACTTTTAATGTTGTTTCATACTCTTATCAACATGTATTTCAAAAATCATAGATCCAAAAATGATACATGTGCTTGAAAGTTAGTTACGTGGTTGAGATCAAACAATTTTACAACATTACAAGCATTGTTGATAGCAAATTCAAAGAGAATATGAATATTCGAATATACAATCATGCATACGGTAAACTTACTCTATTTAATTTAATTACTGCACAAATTTTTAAAATTTATAATCATAACATATACCTTCTTTCATTCTTACTAGATTAAATATTTTCAAATACTTGGTTACATTCAGAGCATTAACATAGAAAACATATTCTATGAGTTATGCAAAAATTGTGGACAACTATGTGAAAGTCATTTTTCAAAAACAGTGTGTATGCATTGTAATGACGTGGTCGACACTGTTGTTAGGTAATTAATTTCATGTACCTTTAATTTCAACAAATTTTTCTATATTGTATATAACATTTTATTTGTCAAACAGGTACAATGTTAACATACAAATCAAAGATTCTAGTGATAACATACATCTTAATCTACAAGACAGACATGCAAGATTTGTATTTGGTTGTGATACTTCTTATTTTGAGAATTACAAATGAAGGTAGAATTTCTTGATATATGTTTATTTTTTATAATGTTATTTAGAAACTATGTAAAAACAATACACTAATTTTTAATTCTTAGGACAATGGTGATAAGTTGTTTATTCAACGAATCAATTCATGCAAAGATCGTGCATTTTTATTTGTAATACGCATTCCACAAAATTTAATAGAATTAATTAAATCACCAATTTTGACTTTCGTACTAAAAGTTGATTGGTGTAAAGAGTGTTCACACTTTCATGCAAGATTATCAAATCGAATACATAATATTTGTAAGTATTTCATTTTAACAACATTTAATTACATTCATTTTTATTCATATATCATTAATTTTTTAATATAAAATTTTATTATTTTTTTAGGATATATCTTATGAAAAAGGTAATTTTTGAATAATATACACATTCTATTATATTTCAAACTATTGTTAGACAGATATTATATTTTAATTGTATTGGTACAATTTTTTAACCTTTTTTAATTCACCATTTTATTTTCATTTTTTCAATAATGTCAGCACCGTGCGTAGCACAGATATTCACACTGGTATATAAGTATTGTTTTGAATTGAAATATAAATCCGTGCAAAGCACGGGTTAGAATGCTAGTTCCATAGGAATGCTGGAATGTAAAAGAATGAGATTGTGGGTCCGTTTGTTTGCTTGTAAAATATTTTCCCCCCAAAATAAATATTTTAGCTGAAAATCATTTCCCTGGAAATATATGATTTTTTCATTTTTAATTGACTTTTTTGAAAATGTTTTCCTCATAACAAACAATGATTACTACATTTCCTTAAACTATCAGCATTCCAATATGATTACCACTACCTGTCTCTCATTTCTACAGATGATTCACCTTAAACACCACAATCAATTTGAGAGTCAAAAATACTTTCTTGGTATTCATAGAAAACTCTAAGAACACTTGCATAAGATGATGTGCCCAACAAGATGCTAAAAATGGGTAAGCAGAATCTTTGCCCTTTTGGAGGTACATCCACTAATCTGTAAAGCGTTATATCCATTTAAAATTATTCATCAATATATATGAGATAAAAAAATGCATACGACTCGTAAATTTGTGTGTGAGGCTGAGAGATAAAAAGTGGATCCAACGAGAAATCATAGCGGGTGAGAGCGAGAAAGTGACAGTCGATCCAACAAAGAATGGTAGACTGGTTGCTAGAGAGAGTGAATAGGAGAAAAATTGGTTGCGGAGGCAAGGGGGCTTTGTTCTGGAAAAGTATTCAGTGTTCCGCTGGAAAACAACTTTAGTAAAAAGTTTTGCAGAAGTTGTTTTCCATTGGATCGCGTAAAACCTTTTCTAAAGGAAAAATTTTTCTTGACACTTCTTTGCAGCCAAACATCGAAAAAAAGGGAAAACATATTTTTCGCGAAAATTTTCCATCCAAACAAACATATATACATACCCATATTATTTGACCTTTTTGTTGGAACTAAAATAGTAAAAAAGTACGACAAGAATTGCAGTTTGACTTTGAAATTCCTACCAGCTGAGCCATCCATTGTGGTCTCAATTTTTTCGGTCCTTGTGCGTCATAAATTCAACGCATTAGAAACCATAAGTTCCTTAGCCACTGTCTGATAGATTTGAATTAATCTTTTATACAATGATATATAGTATCAATTTTGAACGGATGACAACTAATGTAAATTTAAATATTTCTATTTGATAATTCAGTTCAGCATTTAAATATGCATTCAGATCTTAATATATTCAAAAAATTTGATAATCAAAAATTGAACATTTAAATTAATTAAGTGACATTGAATTTTTAAGGAAAAACTTGCTCCCAAAATTAAGTGATAAACTATTTACTTATCACTAAATGTAATATACACTCAAATATATTAGATTTAATATTTAACAATTCAATAATTTAAAAAACTCAGATTTCACACTTCAGTTTTATCAAATACACTTAGATATCGATGTTCTGCATGTAGCGGTGATAACTGTAAGTGCGTTCCAAAGAAGAGATATATTCGCTATTTGACTTGACTCTAATTATACCATATATATATATATATATATATATGCATACATGATACGCGGTGGAGATTCACGGCGTACAAGGTGCCGAAAATTTGACGACAGTTTTTCCGGCTGGATTGAATTTGTAGTAGAGAAAGTTAAATCTTCAATTAACGATGGCCGCCAAATGAGAATTTGACAACAGTTTCTGTTTTGGGACAGTGCCACGCATTTAACTTCGTGTTTTTCTTTGACTGTATATTACCTAACCGTAAAAAGCTTATGAAATTATTACTGGGATTTTTTTTATTTCTGAAGCTAGTATTCATTAGTATTTTGTTGGGGATTTAACAACCAATCGGGCTAGTTAAATTTCAATTTTACATAAATTTCGAGCACTGGTACAATAAAAGTATTTTCCTGAAAATTTTCCGCTATTTCAAACTTTTCTTCCTTCCAAGAGACACTATCCAATAAACTGGAGGAATCATAAATGCGGTAAATTAATGTCGGCTCGTGACTTTGCAACCATATTATTGTTACTGCGCAACTAACGGACCTAGAAGAAAACGCGGAGCATGATTTCACGAAAAGCTTGAAGTTTAGACTCGTCGTCACCAACAAAATGGGCTCGTTCCGGATAATTCTGCAAAGGAAGATTGGGCCAAATGATGCAGAAGCCTACATGCAAACCCAAGTCGCGATAGACTCGTCGTGACTTTTTTATTTTTTCAAGTAACTCGTCGTGACTTGGTACTGCACTTTAAGATTTTTAATCATGAGTGCTGCAGTTGTAAATTGGCCCAGCGCGACCTGACGGTCAAACCGATCAACTCGTTGAATCGGTCACAAGATCAGATTAGGTCACTGATTTGATCGGTTAAACATAAAATTTATTGACCGATCAACGACTCGACGATTCAACTCTTGAGCCCGAAAAAATCAGCTGCTGAACCATCAACTAAAATTTTTTATAATTTTAAATATATTATTATATTATATAATATAGTGATTGTGTAACTTACGGTTGAACCGATGATCCGATCGCCTTTGCGATGTCGAGTTTTGGATCGGGTTTAATAATTATCCATGAGACGCATTAAAGATTACAAATCATGATAAATATGATGGAATACAGGAACGTATTTTTACTCTAATTACTCTATACCCTAGATATTCTATCTCTTCATCCCCACGTATTTTTATGCCTGATTTGGATTCGCATATACTTTAACAAATCTTTTATAAAATGGGAAAGCACGTACCCAAGAGCTCTTTTATCACATTATAAACGGACTTCTAAGAGGTTATCGGGAAAAGTGCTGAATATCGATTCCGAGCTACATGGTGACCTAAGTACTTCATCAATCTCTTAGACCCATTGGTGGTACTTTAGAATATTGTTGTGATCATCGGCCACTGGGTTTAGCAACAATTAAGCGTTAGCAAAATTTGAGTAATTACGTAAAATGTTTAAGATGTGGGTTTGTGATGCATATGGTATAAACTCATACGAACAATCTGGGATTTTCCCCTTCCCCTTCCCCCTTCCTCCCTATCTCCATTGATGGAAATTTGCCAACAGCATCGCTCTTGGGTCATTTCTATTACATCGCTGATTGTTCATCATGACTCACGAAAGATGGAAAAATTTTTGAAGAGCAAAGAATTATATGTTTCTCTATTTGAAGCAAAAGTTTAGAACATAACCGATACTTGGAATATACTACACATGACTTGCAAACGCAGCTTCACTCGCATCTCCCATTAGTCCACAGAGGGAGGCATGCATTCCATCTTC